CTCTCTCTCCCTCTCTCTCCGTCACTCCTGGTGTCACTTCCTGTTGATGCCATCAACTCCTCTTTGGATTCAGTTCGTGTGGTCCCCACCCACATACTGGGTTTTACTTGTGTTATTGTTTATTTTTGTTTTGACTTTATTCTACCTCTTTTTAATTTTATTGCATTTATTTACATTTGTTTAGCACAAATGTACCAATTCAGCTAAATTGATTTGTATTAATTTTGAGATTTAATTAAATCAAATTTGTATTTGTAATGGTTCAGTTTAATTGTAAAGAAAGGTGATTTTGGTTATATGTTGACCTTTAAGCGCCCTCTTGTGGCGAGGATCGTGTATGGTAACTTCTGTGTGACTCGTGTTGAGTTGAGTTCATTGTGAAGTGTCATGGCTGAAGAGCGGCTCGTACGGTGAAGTCGTTACCCACATAAGGCTGTATGTCGCTATTATTCGTCATATAAATATGACGTTTAGCAGGTTAAAGATGTTTGACAGTAAATTCATTAATCTAGAGATGCAAATGTTACTAAAAACAAAACGTAAAGTGCAAAGTGCGAGCTTTAGGTAGCGCCGTATGCTAGCGGTCTTTTGTTATGATTATTAGGTTAATTTGTATTTCATGATTACAAGCCATTACCTAAAATTAAGAATATAATTACCAGATGTACATGACAATGTAACGTTTAATGATTTAAGGTTTCTTTTGAATGCTTTTAGGCAGTAAATACTGCTCAGTCAGCTATGCACTTTGAATATGTAATTTGAATACAATTCTAATTGCTGTATTTTCTATGTCTGTTTACAGTTTTACAATGTTAAAGTTAAACGAGAAAAGATTCATGAAAGCTACTGGAAGATTAAAAGCCATGAACCAACATCTCGCCTGTTCACTGTCTGTCTAGCTGGATAGAGAAGTTACACATCTAGTAAGGATAGAACAGTATTTTTTTATTATTTTTTTTTTTAATTTACTTTCCCTTTTAATTTCCTACAGCTCTTAGGACCCCTTTTTATTTTAATTTTTGTTTGTTGTGTTTTACTTTTACCTTATTTTAGTTATTTCAGCATCACCATCTTCGCTTTTTGTATAGGATTACAGTAGTTCTAGCAACTGTTGTTTCCTTAACGAGTTATACAGGTTATTAGTAGCCTAATCCCTGTTTCCTCTCTACTTCTCCTCACGCCTCAGTGCCAGGCCTAAT